ATCTTCACAATAACAACGTAAATAACCTTGCTTCCGTTGTATTATTAAAAACCATCAAATTTTCTCAAAGCTTCAAAAAGAATGAAACCTGATTTGGTCAATTGCTTAGATTGCTTGGCTTTATTGAAAAGTGGAAAATAGAATCCATGCTGGCTGGGCTATGAATATTATTCTAATCAAGTCATCTAATATTTCCGTCGCTTTCGATTTTTTGTGAACAATTTCGGGATGTCAAAAACAAAGAAAATGTCATTGCACTCTCTTATTGAAACCAATATTCCTATAGTCCCACATAATGTATGCGATCTTCCACTTTTCAATGAAACCAGGCATCAATCCTAATGAAATACTGTATATAGATAGCAAAATAAAGGTTCTGCCTTCGATGTTTTGGTTTGGTCATCAATGTTGGATCTATACGCAGTCTAATTATATTTCGAAAAGGAGCATCAGATAATAATACAGTACAGTATAGTGAGAACTTGAGAGGACATTTTTTCATGCTTGCTTTTGATTCGTATTAATGAAATATTGATTATCATAACAAAAATTTCCTTATTAGATTGCGAAGAGAATCAGAAAGCCACCGCTGTTGCATGCAAGGTTAATTCAAGATATACTGTAATTTGTAGCGCTGGCTAATTTTGATTCTTCAGGAAAACCTTGAATCGATTGAAGGGCTTGGTCATTTTAGAATGAATCAAAAGATGAATCTATGAACGGTAAACATCATAAACCATGTTTTAAATATTTTATTTTGAAGTTGTGACCCTTCCGCGATTTCTCAATCAGACACAATTCAAATAATGTATTGTACTGCATTTCCAGCAACACGATACGCCCATGCACATCGAGCTCTTATTTGAATTGGTATAGTGAATGGAACAAAATAGCTTTCTGTCGTACTTTGTCATTAAAGTAGTGTATATTGTAGCATTGAAAACGGACTTACGCATTCGTAGCCCCTAAGGTAATGGTTCATTCATCCCGGAATAACAGCTAAAACTGTACATTACTGTACTTTTCGTATTTTATGAAGCGAAATCGCTTATTCGTGGAATTAAGAGTGACATCTATTCGTGTTGGCTGAAGCAGAACACTAGCGCTTTTGAAGTTCTATGCTAGAGGTAAGGAAGATAGATGAAGCTCATTGTTTCCCAGTGCGATGCGGTTGGAAACCCTATTCAACACTATTCAAGTTCTCTCTTCGGGGTTTAGTATTTGAAATGGTAGTGCCGAACTTCTGATTGCAGTGTAGGAAGCACATATAGACGAATACGACATTTGAAGTTTGATCTTATTTGCTTTTCTAATATTCGCGATGTTTTTTATTTACCATCTCTGCTTTCTAATTCCCAGGTATGATATTGCAGCAACAGTATGCATTCATTTGTGAGAAATCCGTGGTAGCAGAATATATATTGAAATATAGTAGGCTTCCACCTAAGAGTAATCTGGATGAAAGGATTCATTAGATGAATGTCTTGGATGCAATTTCTGATGCACTTATGTAGAGTTGACAATATGGACAGGTGCTACAACTATATTCTATATCTGGCTGTTTCTGGGACCTCGGCTAAAATTAAGAAGTGAATGAGATGTGATGCAACTAACATTTATAATAATTTGGAATGAAGGTCTCATTCAGTTAAACGCTTGTTTTGAATGACTTGAAATGCCAAATAAATGGATCACCTCACTCTTGATTGTACTGTTAATTTGATGATTCCAAATTTCCCAATCAGAGGCTCATCTCCAACAAAGTAAATGATGAACGATTTTATGAATGATCATTAATTTTTTTCCAGTTATTCTTGGAAAAAGTTCTGGTATAAATTGTTGATAAAAGACTTCTAGAAAAAATATGTCAGCAACCGAACCTTTTTCCTTCACATCATTTATTTCTGCATAGGTCAAGAAACTCTAGTAAATATAGGATAGAATTTATGAATTCTATGCAGCTGCATCTACTTTCGATGGATCCTTACCAGTTTTCAGAGGGGTCCCCAAACTTTTAATACATAGAAAAAGCATGAAGGATTTCTGCGGTCGTCTTTTTCTTTCTTCGAATCAAATGAGAAGAAGGAAATGAACTCCAGAGTGGAAAAAATGTCACATCACTGTTATTCCGTTGACGCTTCTCTGAATTCAAGACAAGAGAAATGATTTTAGAAACGGAGTGCCATTTTTTTCCTTTTGAGCATTCTTCCCTCACATATTTGAAATGATCTATCAATAAATTTTTTTTGCCGTAAATTTCGATTAACTTTCGGCCGTCTTTGAGTCTCGGATTCCATGTTTGCAGACCAAAAGAGATTTTTCTCCGAAATTGCTGCCGTGCCACAAGCGGAAGAAATCTCCGCTTCATCGCAGGAAGGGCATTCATCGAAGCCCATACACGCCATCAAGCAAAAGAGGAATGAAAAGGAAGATTTCTCGCTGGTTGGAGTGTGACAAGTCATGCATGAGTTCCACGGCAGAATAACGTATCGTGATCTAATGAATATATTCAAGAAATACGCCAATTTTTACCGGCTACCAATCAAATTTGTTTCGCTCTGCAACTCATGTAAGAAGTAAAACTTGGGACAACAAGAAAGTGAATAAAATAAAAGTCAGTAATCTTGACCAAATTTAAAATTTTCTTGATGCTTCATATGGAAAGAGGATATTGTTTTTTTTACAACTTAGGCTTCGGTGAGAAAAAATATTTGAAAGTGGATACTGTCGCGACTGATGCGGCCTGAGTAAAAAATTTACAGCTTTCCTGCTTTTCCTAGAACGATGTAAACAAAACAACGATTGTGAAATTTCATTGAATTGTGGTCAACCTAAATCATTTAGTCATGACTTTTCTTTCTTTTGAGGTAATACATTGAACTTGATCATCTCCTAGTGTCAAAAGTTGATCATGCTCTTTTCAGAGAAGCGAGCAGAAGAGTAAGTAAAACCTGTCAAATTATTTGATTTTCTCAACTAGAATCCACGAAGTAAAATTTTTAAATGCTTCAGTTCTGAGCAATGTTCAGTTGTACAGAATTTGACTTAATAGGGACACTTGAAACTTTAAAAATGCTCCATCTAGTCATAAATGTCTCAACTTACAGATACCTTTTCAACAATTCTAGGAAAATATAAAATTTGACTTTTTGAAATTTGATATCTCTTGAAAAAATTGAGCCATTCATATTCAGAAACAATAAAAAAACATTATTATGTATGTACTCAAATGCATGATCAAAAACAAGTTGATTGTGTGCTTATTTTCTTGTAGCATTTTGCATCATCTGTACAGCAAGACTATGAAGTACTTTTTTGTGCTTTTTTGGACCCATCATAGGCTGCCAATATAAGATCAGGTTCTGTTTCGTTTTCTTCTGCACAGTTACACTCAGCATCCTTAACCCTCATACAGGAACTGCCTTCTTTCTGTCCTGTGACAATATATGGTTTATTTGCCAATTGGAATTTCTAGTTTGACCCAAGGTATGTCAAGGACTTATTGAAGGTTCCTTAGCTATAAATTTGATCAGGAAAATAATGAAAAACATCAATCAGCCTGGGACTGGTTGGGAGCCTCTTTTCAGAGGCACCCCTTAAGAATTGGGGTTATTTATGTCTCAACACAGTTTTAGCAACTCAGTGAATTTCACAATCACACACTCAGAAGAAATTGCACAAATCTTTTAGAAATAATCAAGGTAAGGTTTTAGCTCTGCTCATCAGTTGGAGAGTTGGCAGTGGAATGAATTCAGTGCTACATTCTTTTGGGACTTAGAAGAAAGAGAAAGAAAGTACTTTTCCGTGGGGACTAAATAATGTCCTCTGATTGGCTGATTTCCCCAGAATCAAAGACAATGCTGTGAATTGTTGTACGAGTCATTATGGGACTTATTCTTTGGTGCTGGGCTCTCTATATAAGCCCCAGCACTGGTTTTTACAGGAAGGGGGATTATTAATATTACAATTATGCAGCAGGCGCAGCAGTCCCCAGCAACAAGGTTACTGGAATGCAATTTGATTATGAGAAGACCTAAGATGAGAAAAATCCAGGTAGGATGAATCCTTCTAGTTTCACAAATTGCCTGTGCTAATCCCATGCAAGATATGCAAAAAATACCACCAAGTAAGGATTTTTTTTGGACCAAATATTTTTCAGGATGTTACAAAACATTGGAATTTTCCAACTATGGCTGAGGAACAAAAACACAGTTTAAAATTGTTATTGGTGCAATTTCCCCGATAATAATTTGCTGTGAAACGCGCTTGCAATTCTAGAGATGAGTATGTGTTCTCCCAAGAGCTTGCCAAAGGCAGCGCTTGCACCTCAGCAAGAAAGAAAGAGAGAAAGACTGAGAAAGGATGAGATAATTAATTAGAATATAATATCATAATATTATAATAATTTCTGAACTCATTTCTATTCCAAGAACCAATTAATCACTGACAGGTGCACCCCTCCTGACCCATATACACACGCATGCACCTGTAACAAACTTCTGGGATTCCCCACTCTGCGGTTCTTCCCAAAGCACATGTACAATCACGTGATTGTAACTGCGCAGTTTCCAGAACTTTCTGTGTTCCCGTTACAGGTTTTGAGCAGTATATAAACCCTGGTCAAAACCAGGATTATCAGGCAGTTGTGCATTGACTTGTGAAGTGACCCTTCTGGTATAATCCTCTGTGTTTGCTGGTGTCTCTGGATTGTGTTGTTGTGGTGAATATTACATAGTAATAATGAAGACTATTTCTTTACTATCAAAGTACTTGTTGGGATTCCTTATCTATTCCTCTAAAGTAGAGATACACAAATCTAACGTAGTTCTGAGATAAAATTATTATTCTCAGTTATTCCCAATAAGGGGATAACAAAATATTTAGTGCTTAGGGGCACACGGGTCATAAATATATCCTAACTTTTCCAGCTGCAAAAAAGGTTGATAAATACACCTGCATGCATCAATTTTTTGGAGATTGATTCCTAATATTTCATGAACTATAGCAGTTTTCCCCAGCTCATGGTCCATGGACTGGCACCAGTCCACAGACATTTTTGCTGGCCTGCAAAAATTTTCTTTTGCTTAATTAATTAATCAAAAGTAGGGATGAAGTTTATTGTTCTCTGAAATTCTGGAAGGATGATGTCAGTTGAAATTACCTTATTCATAATTAAAACTGGCTTTTACCTATTAAAACTTCTAACAGATTGTCACTGGCTAAAATGCATTATTTCTGGTTTTCATTCTGAGAAACCTTTCTTTGAGTCCCTTTTGCAATTGTTGAAAGACATCCCACTATATAGCTGCTTAATTGGTTCTTAGCATATTTTTTGCAAATAAGCAGAAGCTTTTCAAATGCCTATTTTTCAAGTAAAGTCTTTCAAGGAGAACTTTTTCAAGTTTGGAAAACTGCTTGCCAGTCCTGTTTGAAAAAACTTCAGTGAGCCAACAATTTGGTGCCAGGAAAAAAATTCTTCTTTAATCCCTCAAAAAATCCTAGCCTCTGCTGGAGCCTGTGAACCAAACCCAAGTTTGGTTCCCAGGCCCAGAATGGACATTTCTGAATAAACCTTCAATCCTTTCTATCCCTTGTCCTTCAACCCATCCTTCCCTGATTTCAAATTCTCTTGATTAAAGACACTTGCATTTAAGTTATGAACCCAAGCAGATCTCCATGTAGAAAAGCTTTTACCTTTTGTTCAGTGAACTTGAACAGTGAACTTAGTTGAAATTCTAAACTCTGAAATAAAACCATCTTAAACTAGGACAAAATCATCCAAGCCACAGCCTGGCTGCTCAAAAGTGTTTTCTTTCACCCGTTCTCTTGAGATTCATACGTAACAATTGCTGTCTAGCAGATCTTGCTGAAATCTAAGTATCTCTCCAAGCATCTGGTTGAGTTCAAGCCATTTCTTCGACCTTTCAGGTTGCTTTCCTCTTTGTGAGATTTACTAAGCAGTAAGCACTCAAATTTCTTTTTCTCACAAGTCTGCTTACAATTTTTGAAATATTTGCCTGTCTTCAAAAAATTATGTGGGAAGTTGCCAGCATGTGGGCCAAAAAAGATTGGAAAACACTAAACTATAGAGAACAAATTGAATAAGTTCCCATTGAAGTTCATGAAAAAGTCGTGATCCAACATGCAGACATTCTGACATATAGGAACAAGGTCCAAGCATCAATTATATATCCATATTTCAGGGTCCCACTTATTATCCTTCTTCACGATTCACTATATACGACGGTCATGTATGGCCATCAGTGGTCCCAATGTGTCCCTGCTACACCGAAAACTCTTACCGCTGCTGCGCTGGTTGAATAGAAAGAAGACATTTTAAGGGCCGAGTGAATCCGCCGCCGTCTTTGTATAAGCACGCCTCTGCACATTTCACTCCAGTGAAGCAGCAGGAGCAGAAAAAAAAACGTGCTTCTAAGAGGGCAGGAAATGTGGAAAGATGGGCCAGTCGCGTGTTTTCCGCTTCTTGCAGCATGTAGCAGCAGCAGCAGCAGCAGTAGTAGCTGCAGCAGGGCTCGTCTGCTGAACAAGTACGCTATGCTTCACCCTCATCGCAGGAAGGAAATTAAAGTCTTCACGGCGGGGCCCTGGAAAGGAATTTCTGGCTCTCGGTTGAGGTACTCATCCTGGTTATATCAAGTCTTCAGAAGTTGGGTTCAACAAATAACGAGGATGAAACCCTCTTTCATGGCTGCTTCGTATTTAATCTTACTCATGTCTCATATCCCCGTCCACCTGCGCTGACCTGCGGATTTACCCCATATGAAATACAGTGAGACCCCAAGATGCGGACATAATTGGTGCATCAAGAGTGGCCGTAAGTTGAATTGTCCCTAAGGTGAGTCTGATTTTTTCCATAAACTTACACTGTATAATTTTTAATTGGTGTTTTATGGAAGAAATATTCTTCAGAATTCCCTGAAAAAATTGTTTGACACTTTAATTTGATTTATAGTGAATACATTTTCAACTCAATAAGAACATTTTGAGCATTGAATAGTGTATCTCTTTACTCTGTACATTGAAATGTTGGCATCTACAGAAATAACATTCAATTGAAAAAAATAGAAGTCCCTCATCTATCCTGGAGGTAATTTTTCAAAATTAGCTGAATGGATGGTAAATTGGTGAGAGAAACGCTCAAGAACTTTTTTTTGCATCAATTTTAGAGTTAGAAATATATGTTCTCTGCAATTTGGTTTAAAATTTAATTTAAATTTTATCAAAAAATGTCCCCATGTTGATTGTTGAGTCAGTGTCCTCATGTCAGGCATTTTTTATTAATTTTTTCTGGGAAAAAGAGTGTCCATATGTCAAATTGTCCAAAGGTTGAGGTGTCCGCATGTGGGGGTCTCACTGCATTTACGATTCAGGAAACATTTTTTCCCAGACGACACAAATCCGTAAGAAGAAAATAATCAGAAATTCTTTCATGGTGCTTATGGCGAAGAAGATATTTGTAAGTCTCATGTGAGAGCTTAAAAGGGATGTTTACTGCACACTGGATCGAGCTTCGCGGATTAAAAGCCTGCTTATTCCAGGGAAGATTTTCAGGCTAAAGTACTTCCCTAATTAGTAATTTTCTCATGATAAAGACACTTTTTCTTCGCAAATACTGTACCGTAATTCAGTAATGTTGTGCTTGTGCACGAAAACTCAACAAGATGAAGAACTTCTCTTCCTGGTACATGGGTTCATCCAGGTTATTAAGTCTGCAGTATATATCTCTGGGTTCAACAAATATGATGAGGATGAAACCCTCATCATCGTTGCTTCTTCTTGACATTTTTGTCGTCGTATTCCCAAAGCCGTGAGATGGAATCCATCGTTAATTATTTTGCGGTTGAAAATAAGGTCTTTGCGGGGAATTAACCTGCATGTGCAAAATTACAGGAGTTGAGTTAGGGCCAAACCGGGTGTAAAACCCTTGAAAACCTGGTTTGCGCGATGAAATCTCGAATTTATTGTACTGTATGTTTAAATTTTGTTGATGCCGGGTACTGTTATTCACCAATTAATTCTCACGCTTCTTCCTTGCAATAATACAAAATACGTACATTATTAGATAAATTTTAAACTCAGCACTATGAATACCATCGACTTGAACTCACGTATATTCAACCCCTTTCTTTCATCATGGATTGAAACAGTTTCATTACAGGCCAGTTTTCTGAACGTTACCCATTGAAAAATAGCTTTTTCAAGTTTATTGCATTTCTTATAAATTCATATCAATCATAGCGCCTCGGGTTTCTCAATGGTTTTGTGAAAAGTAAAATTAATTCGTTGCGTTTGCGTGAGTATTTCACAGGATTCCAATCATTCCTTCTGATGAGCTGGGTTTTCACAGTATAGTTGAGTCTTTTTTGCAGCTTTTGGGTACTATACGTGTAATTATGAAAATGAATTTGAATTGCAACACAAAATAAAATCCTGTCCTTGCTTCAAATCCGGCTGCAGTTTCTCAGCGGTCTCTCCTATTTCTATACAAAAATAGAGCCTTGATATTCCAACACATATTCGAAAAAGTGGTAAAAGTACTCGCTTTCATTGCTAAATTTAGTTTAAATGCATAAATAAATAGGTATGAAGCTGAATGAAAAAAAAAACGAAAGGATTTGAATGCCCTGATTCCCGAGTGTCATTTGAAGAAATTTGTTCCCTCCTCTTTTATGCAAAAACGCGAAACACTGATCAAAGAGTCCCGCTTAAAAGATGGCAGCATCGTGCTTGCGTTTACAAGAAATCTCAGCGATAATGTTTTCGGAGAGAAAAATCAGTCTATGAGAAACGAATTCTGAACAATAAATAAGATGAAAATAAAAATTATATCTGATGATCCTGGGATAAATAAATCGCCAGAACATGGGGCGGTTTTTGCAATAAGTGCAGAATTAATGAACAAGAACTTTCGCTTTGCACCCGACTTTACGAATGACATGCGAACCTGAGGTTCTTTCTATATGGGGAATGGAATCTATCATTGATCAGCAAATATTAGCTTCATTACCTCGGGAAGTAGGAGCACTTACTCTGCGCTAACAGCCTTCTCTCTTCTTTTTTATTAACAATTTCACTTTTTTACCCTTCGCGATATTAACCAGACTCGGAAAGTTTCACCTTATATGAGGTCAAGAAATCAGAGCAGAGCAAAAATATCCATGCTTTCATCTTCAGTGCTCCATTCTATACCATTAATCCTGAATGATGCTAAACTTTTTGAGAACCTCGGGTTTCGAGAAATAATCCATTTTGCGAAAGTTTTCCGTTGACGAGACGGTCAAATAAAGTCTCAGATTTGTTTTGCATATTTTTCGTGCACGTGTACAACATTCTCAAATCGTTTGCGAGGAAAAAAATATTTTAATATCATGGAGAAAGTATTAATTAGTCGAGTACCCCGTGAAAATTTTCCCTTGGATAAACGGACTTTTAATTCAAGAACCTCGATTAGCAGGCGTGAAGCGAACTTCCCTTTTTGATTACTTATACATGAGCCATGTGCATAATTCATCTTGTTAAATTCCATATGAAATACGGCAGTAAAAACTAAAAAAATTTATATATTTCACCTATTAAACGTAACGAATTTTGATACTGAATCGAATTATAATCTGTAATAAGTTTTCACCCGTTGCTCAGATTTTCAGCTGTGAACGTCGTCTTTCAAAAATCGCATGCCATTTTGTTACGTAAGCGTGATGAAGCATTAAAAAATAGAAATCGAAACCTTTTTCGCATTTTTTTATATAGCAATGAAAGCAAATTTATTGATTCAAACGTAGAATACACGAGAACGACAGATGAATCACGCTGTCGTCAATTCGCTATATGCTACTTATATTCCCAATCAAGCATTTATTTTTCTGCAAACCGTGACACAAATTGCAAACAAAATTGCGAAACAAGCCACATCGAAAGCATCACAAATGCACATCGATTTTCCCTCGTTCAGTCGACAGAAGAAAAAAACATTCAATATCTCGTGAGCATGTTTGTGACTATTCAATCATTTTTTTTTTGTCGCCAATTTTTCAAATGGGTCATGAAGAAATTGTGAGAGAAAAAAAATTGCCGAGTCGACGTATATACGAGGTACCGTGTCCAAAATTTCAAAATATAAAAGCAGATGCATGGTAACTAACAGGTGATGCTATTTCTGCGTATATGCTGCATTTCACGACAATACTGCACCGTGATATTCGATCTATTTTTTTTTTATTTCGGGAAAGAAATTAAATGCAATCTTCGAATACCTTTTGAAACAAGAAAGAAATCATCATGATTTAGATGTGTCTATAGTGTATACGATGCTCATCTAGCTTTTCTGAGATCAATAATTTTTTCTGATAAAATTAAAGTCCAGGGCTCTGCTTTTCCCCGAATTAAGCTCCATTTCAGCACCCACAAAATGCCCTGTCCTTAAAATGTCAAGGTAACAAACATTGCATTGTATGTCCCAGAATAACAAACGGAAAATTCTGCGGGCGTGATACATCCGTATTTTTCTTGCGGGAAGGATGAGATATAAGAGAACAGCATAAGCATGGATTCATCAAATGATGCATGCAAGGGATTTGTTGAATAACACTTGTGATGGGAACTGAGCCAGCTTGTCAGAATACAAAAACATCGCGAGAAAGCACAATCGAAACCATGGCACGAAGGGTTCTAGAGCGAACAGAATAAGATAAAGGCCACTCCGAGTGACTTCAAAGGCAAAGTTTCCTCATCATATCTGCGCGAAAAGTTCCATACATGATGCGAGTCTAGTATCAGATCTTTAATTTCCCCTATTTTCTCATCATGTTGGAGATTTTCAAAGGGAAATATCAAATTTCATGAAAAGTTTGCAGTGTTGAACTTTTGTGCTGATTTGTTGAAAGTATAATTGGAGTTTGAGGATGAGATTCCATATCACAATCTTGACGAAAAGAAAGCCTCGCAGAAAATCGAATTACAGTCCCTTAAATTGTCCTGATCCATTCACTCACCCACCATTTGAATGAATACTGCAAAAAACGGCACACAACATCAAGAGTCTTCGCAAAAATTCTCGCAAAACCTTCTCAATTGCCTTTTCTTTGTGAGCACAAATTCAGTTCTTTTTTTCGATCAGTAGATACACTGAATTCAAGACAGTAAGAAATGTCGCTGAGGAAGAACACAATGACACGTTTGATTTAACATACATACACACACATGAATAAAGGGTGAGCAAAAAGAAAAAAGAAAAACAAACACATTCAACAGAATCTTTTTCGTCTTCCTTTTTCTTTCCCTGGTCGTTCGTTCCATCATTTGGCCAGAAACTGGGAAATAATGTCGATTGGCAAAGGGAAGATGATGGTTGAATTCTTCTCCGCCGATATTGTGCTCAGTGTTTGCAGATACCTCAGCTGCAAAAAAAAGCAAGAAAAATAAGTTGAGATTACGAAGTGAAGCTATAATTTAGTCGATCAATAAATAGCTCATCAATAAATATTGTAGCCACACAAATGCGTGCGAAGACAGCTTATTTTTTTTTCGAAAGCACACAAGCACGACGAGAACAAAGTTGCTGGGTTCACTTTTGGCAGCAAATGAGGATCCCCGCAGCCCTCATTATCAGGTTCCCTTCAGAGAGGAGACCCTCAACTTTTCTATTAAGCCCTTTTCTGAAACTGGGCGGCATGAATATTGCATCAGGAGAATGAACCACAATTCTCGGGATATTTTCTTTCTCTCCCGACATTATTTTATAACGACATCCAGGAGACATAGGAATAATAACTACGCAAATATACAGAGACCCCCACATGCGGACGCCTCGCCCTACCGGCAATTTGACATATAGGGACACTCATTTTCCCAGAAAAAATAAGCAAATAAGGCCCAACATGAGGACACTGACTCAACATAGAGACATTTTGTGATATAATTGCAAATAAATTTCAGGCCAAATCACAAGAAACAGATATTTCCAACCCTGAAATTGATGCAAGAAAAGTTCTTGGGCATTTCTCTCACAAGAATTACCATCCATTTATCTCATATAAAAAAGTTACCTCCAGCATAGAGGGACTTCTACTTTTTTCACTTGAATGTTATTTTTGTAGATGCCAAAATGTCAGTGTACAGTACATACAGAGATATACTGTACACTATTCAATGCTCCACATGTTCTTATTGAGTTGAATATGTATTCAATAATTCAAATTAACGTGGCAAACAATTTTTGTAAGGTTTTATTTATGGAATGGTTTTATCAAGCCTTACACCTTGAATATCTTATTTAATGTACAGCAGAGTCTTGGAAAGCAAAATTCGGGTTGATTGAATAAAACACGGTAATTGGTCGGGCGCGAACCGACCGGGATTTCTCCCAACTAGCGCAGACCTTTCTTTTCTGAACAAACAGTACAGGGTATTAAAATTGGCACAAAAGATATAGTACACAACAAACAGTAAAAAGGCTTCACATATACACACACTCAGTCACAGGTTATGGTGAATATTCTCAAAGTCTTTGATACAACAAGTTTTCCAGTAATGGAAAGAATAAAGGGAGAAGGATCTCAAGTCAGATTTTTAGGGAGTCCTTTTGATTTGGATATTTCCAGTGATGGAAAAAATAAAGCAGAGTTTCAATCACTCAGAGAAACAAGGTACAAATGAAATAAAAAAGGGGACAGTGATGGGGCTTGAGGAGAATTCCCGAATTTCCTCAGAGTTCCTTTCTCAGAAATTTTCTAAGTCCCGAAGTTTTCTCAGAGTCCAAAGATTTTTCTCGAAATTTTGTTAAGTACGTAAATTCCGAATTTTTGTCCGACAAATTAGCTCAGAGACTCTCAGGATTCGACTAACTGAATGTTGCGCCAAATTCATAGGTTTTATGTGTTTTTGCGCCAGTTTTGGCGGGCAAAATTTTTGGGGTGGCGAGTTCAAAACACCAGGTGGTGACGGTTGCTGTCGAGAGTTTTACAATTTTGTTTTGACTATATATTCTAGAGCATGTTTTCTCGAAAAGACCGGGTGTTTTTGGCTCGAGTTTATTGCCGGAATATTTTCGGCGAAAGGAAAATATTCTAGCAGATTGACTTACAGCGTCCTTTGCAGGGGAGATTTTGACAGCTCTACATCACTTTACTTTGGAAGACAAATTGTCTTTTCGGGAAAGGCGAGACAATAATATTTTCGGCGAAAGGAAAATATTCTAGCAGATTGACTTACAGCGTCCTTTGCAGGGGAGATTTTGACAGCTCTACATCACTTTACTTCGGAAGACAAATTGTCTTTTCGGGAAAGACGAGACAATTTGCGCATCGCCAGCAGCTGGCTATTTCGTTTTTTGCGCTTCTTTGAGAGGGTCGAACAACCCCCAAGTTCCGAGAAAAATAGATACTCTCCTGGCTACAAAGGAGGGTGCCGTCTTTCGTCATTGTTTTTATCCCCGACTTTGGGGTTATTTTCTTTTCTTCTTGGTGCGTTTCGCCAATTCGTCTTTATTCCATAGACACCCCAGTTTTGGGGATTTGCTTTCTTATCTCCCGTTTGTTTCGGCGCATCTCGGGATGCGCCGATTAAATTACATTTTCGGCCTTCTCCCCGGCGCCTCTCTTTTGTGCATCCCATTTCTGGGGATTCTTGTTGTCTTAATGGTTTTCCGCGCAGAAAAAAGTGCGCGGATTGAATTACGAGTCGGCTCGTTTCGTTTCAGTTTTTAGCTCTCAAAGGGAGTCGCCAAAAATTTCGTACATACATTTTCGGCCTTCTCCCTGGCGCCTCTCTTTTGTGCATCCCATTTCTGGGGATTCTCGTTGTCTTAATAGTTTTCCGCGCAGAAAAAAGTGCGCGGATTGAATTACGAGTCGGCTCGTTTCGTTTCAGTTTTTAGCTCTCAAAGGGAGTCGCCAAAAATTTCGTACAAAATCCCCCCCGTGTCCTTGACTGACCCCTTTTCCGGAAGGGGTTAGTCAGGGCGTCGCGAAATAAAAATGCTGCAAAAATTTTGGCATTGTCACAGTTTAAAATTTTGGAGATCGCCGAGTGGTTGTCCTGAGGCTTGAGGTTGGACGATTTCTTCACTGTCGTCTTGACTTTGGACTTCGGGATTTTCCTGCTGGTTTGATTTCCAGAGTGCTAAACAGTTTGGAAAAAAGTGCATCAGTTGTTTTTCATTCCAAAGTCAATCTTAGTTTGGTTTTAGGTTCTGTGGAGTTCAAGAGGGGTAGCTAAGCCCACTTGTCTCCTCTTTGTTTTCAAGTTTTCCTTTTTTTCGAAAAAATAACTTCCAGATTTTTTGTTTTTAAGTATTGGTTGCAACCTTTTTTGATCTCTGACGCCACAGATGGCGTATAGTCCAGTCAGTTTGATGGGCCTTCATTGGCGAATTTTTTTGAGCCGTCATCGGCGCCTTTTCTTGGGCCATAATTGGCCATAATTTTGGGCCATAATCGGCGAAATTTTCGGGACCCTGTGCTTCAGGTTATTGCTTGCATGAGGCAGAATGTACGTTGGACCAACTTCAGGTTTCTCGATTTTTCTTTAGGTTTTCAATTGAAAAGATTTAAAGCCAGTGCTTTTTTCGTTAGATCAGTTCTCTTTAGATCAATAGTAATTTTCTTCCCGAAGGTTTTCACGGGTCAGTCTTTTCCTCTTGAGGTTAGATGTCCCTCTGTTTGAGGAAAAACTAATGTAATTCTCTTTTCACTCGGTTTTTGGTTTTGGTAATTTTTTCTTTAACTTCCTTTCAGTGGAAAAATTCTTTCATCTTCGTTTGGTTTCAAGTGTTCTCTATTGCCAGAACTGGCACAACAAGAGTGTTGTTTTAGTTTCGAGGTTTTGCTGGGGTGCTGTGGTCTAGTGGCTAGGATACCTGGCTCTCATCCAGGAGGTCCGGGTTCAATTCCCGGCATGGGAACCCACAGGTGGTACTTTGACGTGGTCACCGGGGGGTCATCCTTGTATTTTGATTGAGGATAACCGCCGCGGCGATCATGTTTAGTATCATCAGGGTGTTGAGTGTGCCAGCTCTGGCCAAGGATGAGTCTCTTGACATTTTAGGGGTTGCCGAGAGGTTATCCTCGGTTTGAAATGAGGAAGCCTCCTCGGCCGCCTCTTGTTATGTCATTAGTTTCGACGGATGGTTGTTTTTGATTTTTAGGCCTGGTTCTCTTGTCTTGGCCATAGGTGGCAAAAAAAATTTTAAGATTGATTTTGGCGCTTGCTTGGTTGTCGACGGGCACTCCCTTGGATTTTTGGCAAGGGAATCCCGTTCGATGATCCTGCAATTGTTGAAATTGCGTTTGTGGACATGAGCCAAATCTGGCAGTTCAAAAGGAATTTTTCTTGGTTTGTGCAAAAGGCGTGATTGTCGAAAGGTGATCCCTTGAGTTTTTAATACGGGGAAACCTGTTTGTCGATCATGTGTTTGCCCATGATTGCGTCGGGATTTGACAGTGAGTGTCAGAAAAAAGTGAAGTTTCTCTTTTTTGGTGGGTGGATGGATATCTGATCAAGGGTCCTTGACTTAAATGAGGCCCCTTGTTCCGATGGCCATTCGTTGAGCCAAAACTGGCAACGGGAAAGATTTTGACAGTTTTTTGCCAATTCTGGCCAAAAGGTTTTCATAATTCTAGCAGAAAAGTTTGGTTTTGTACCCCTCTTGAAGGTGATTTCAATTTGGGGGGTGGTCTGTATCTCAGTTAGAGATGAGAGGTTTTTCAGATTTGCCTCTGATTTCCAACTGGGGTATTGATAGCCTCTTCAGTTCTTCAGTTCCCTCTGGTTTGTTTTAATGTGCCACATCTTGGCAGAAGTAATTCTGATTTGAGGCCCCCTTTTCTGAGGAATAACCTTTTAGAGACTCAGTTGGAAATCAGGAGGTCTCATTAGTTTCTTTTAATTTACGGCTGGGAATCTAGAAGTATTCTGAAGCAGCCATCTTTGACAATTGTGATTATCTCCCTTCTTTCAAAGGAACCTCCTCTGTTGCCACACACAAAGTCTTCTTCTCCTTTCAACAGAACTTTGCTTGAAAAAAGGAGATTTTATCTTAGTGACAAAATTTTGAGTTTTGGGCAAGAGGAGAAAAAACAGATTTTGTTAAGAAAAAATGTCCAATTCAGATAAAATCCAAGAGCCTTTTAATTTGGAGGAGCCAAATGAATCATACAGTGAGGCTCAAGGGGATCAAGATGGAGAAGCTGATCTCCCTATTTTGGTAGAGGATTCTGATGAAGAGGGGGAAGCTATGGGTGAGTTTTTAGATTGCAAAAAATTTTTCACAGGAAGGCCCTTCTTTAGACTTTAAAACCTTTTCTAAAATTTCTTCCAGATCTGGAGGATGAAAAGGGGGACTTAAAGGTTTCACCTCACATCCTTAATCAGTCAGGATCATCTGAGGATCCACCAACTGTTGTTTTACCCAAGTCGGCCTCGGATTTGGCCAAGAAGTTGGCTACACTTTCTGAGTCCAGCCTCTTGAAGATGGCTGATTTTGTGCCCTTTTTGGAAAATGAGAAGAATGCCCAGATGGGGCGAGATGGTTTAAAGGTAGAGCTTGATCGTCTGCAGAGAGTCTCAGCAATATGCTGAGAATATCTCCTCTCAGTAGATCTGGAGGATGAAAAGGGAGATTTGAAGGTTTTACCTCACATCCTTAATCAGTCAGGATCATCTGAGGATCCTCCAACTGTTGTTTTACCCAAGTCGGCCTCGGATTTGGCCAGGAGGTTGGCCACACTTTCTGAGGCTAGCCTCTTGAGGATGGCTGATTTTGTGCCCTTTTTGGAGAATGAGAAGAATGCCCAGATAGGGCGTGATGGTTTAAAGGTAGAGCTAGATCGACTGCAGAAAGAGTCTCAGCAATATGCTGAGAATATCTCCTCTCAGAAGCGCGTTTTGCAAAAGTATGCGCTAGAGGAGAAGGAAATGGCAGAAAAGCGCCTGATGGTTTAAAGGTAGAGCTTGATCGACTGCAAAAAGAGTCTCAGCAATATGCTGAGAATATCTCCTCTCAGAAGCGCGTTTTGCAAAAGTATG